GACGGTTGTCTCCTTTCCTAACCAGGCATTCGCTCTCTGTGTACCTGTTGTTTGCCAGCTGTGCCTGGCTTCTGCTGCTTCCAACAGCGTGTCCCACCCAAGCCTGACCCGGACCTTCCTGGCAGTATCCTGTGCTTCACTGTCTTAAACATATTTGGAAATAACATCTTGAAGACACTACCATTATCCAGAGATACAAACTAAATGGATCAGAATTCCAAGCACTATGGCATGTTTTTCAGTGGGATGTTCAGGAGCAAAACTAGTTCTGTCCTGCCCTTTAGATCGTCCCATGTGTATGGTAATTTTGCAAAGATTAAAATGAGATGTCAGTACCTAGATTTTGTAGATGAGAAACTTAGGTCTGCGGAGATGGCTGAGTAGATGGTGACTGGTATGGATCCTAGGAGTCCTTTCTCGCTTCTGCCCTCATATTCCTCAGTACGGGTACGCTGCCCCCCACCTGATCCACCAGCCACGAGACATCTTCAGTAAGAGTTCCTAACCCTAGAGCCTATTCACAGTGAGTGAATGAGTGGGCAGAGGTGAGCCAGTAGCCTTGAGTCACTTCAGGGAACTGATTACAGTAAATAGAACCTAATAGCAAGACTAGTGTTGGGGAAAATGCGCATTTTATATAACCCTTTTGTAACAGAGGCATTGACTATAAAGAGCAGTGGTGTGCATAGACCGTTGGGAAGATGGTGAAGTTAGTGTCATTGTAGAAATTCATGTCTGCATGTGTATTCTTTTAAATTGTTATAAATCTAACTTTATTTGAGTGAAATATATGCAAATAGCGTTTTATTTTCTTTTTTAAAGTTTAAAAATGGAAGCGTTTGTTATGCTTAGTTTGAGAACATGCCACTGACCTGCAGAGCGGCGTGCATCTGTGCAGTCAGTGAGACAGAAAGCTTTCATGCCATGTGCAAATCATTTCCTTTTTTCCTGATGTCTATAAGCGTTTTAGATTATAGGGTTTCTTTAAAGGCCTTTACCATTCTAGTTAAAAGATATTTTGCTCTAAGTCAATATTTATAGTAGCTTAGAATTAACCTCCCCCAAATCCTTGTGGTATGTTCGGACCTCACTGCCTTGTTTTGTTTTTGTTTGAGAAGTTTGGTTAAGAAGCATGTTTTTCTCATTATTCCTCAGGGAAGTAGGGAGTGTGGATTATTTGTTTGTGTCATTAATGGAAAATTGGGGCGGACTTTATGGTGTTCTGCCCTCATCAGCACTTTTGAAATTTTTAAAAGACAGACATGAATATGGATATATTTGGGGATTTTCATGTGATTAAAGGAGAATTTTCCTGTTATTCTGTAGTCATGTACACTGACATAGTTAGGATAGAGGACTGTATCTGTAAGTTATTCTCAAACAGTTTCCAAAAACTTGCAGTAAAATTACATACGTGTGTATGTATGTATTTGGTGCATGGTTTTAGAGGTTTCTGTTCATTTGGTCGGCCCTGTTGCTGGGGGCCTATAACAGAGTAGCACGTGGGTGGGTGCACGCAGTACACTGAAGCAGCTCCTCTCGGAAAGAAAATAGCAGAGACTGGAGCCCCACGTCCCCTCCCCACAGTGACTTAAAAACCTACCTCTGGCCCGCTGCTTACAAGTTCCACCAGTTCCCAATAGCACCAAGCTGGAAACCAGGCGCTTAAGACATGTCCTCTTGGCCGCGCATGGGAGCGCACGTCTGTAATCCCAGCACTTGGGAGGCTGAGGCAGGAGGATCGTTGTGAGTTTGAGACCAGTCTGGGCTACAAAGTGAGCTCAAGGCCAGCCTGGACTGCAGAGCAAATCCCTGTTTCAAAAAGACAAAAACAAAACAAAACAAAACAAAAAAATCACGTGTCCTTTGGTGGACATCTGAGATCCAACCCATAGCACCCTATATGAGGAAACGTTTGGTAGAAAGAAAAATCCCTTCTTATTGTGGCAGCTGTTAAGTGTCTTTTTTTTTTTCCCCTTGGTATTCTTTGATGAATGACAATCAAATATCATAATTTTAAATCAGTTCTCACAGGAAAAAACAAATAAGGTCAGTATCACTTAACTTTAGCCACATTTTAACACAAGCAGAAAAGAAGACTGGTTTCATAATTCCTGGCTCCACCTTTAATAACAGAACTATTAATACTTATCTAGAACTCATTCCCTCTTACTAAAACATCTAGTATCTTTCAAAAAAAAAACAAAAGGTTTGCTGGAATTGGTGGTGTGTGCCTGTAATCTTAGCACTCTGGGCGGCTGAGGAAGAAAGATTGCAAGTTCCAGGCCAGCCTGGGGAATTTAGTGATTAACAAGACTTAAGAGGTAAAAAGTTTTAAAAGGGCCTGGGGATTTGGTGGGTCAGTGCAAAGGCCCTGGGTTCAGTTCCAGTACTGCCAAGAAAAGAAGTCTCCCCAGCAACTGGCCCACCGTCATTGCAGAATAGTTACTGGCACAGATGGCTGAGGTGGTGTCTCTCCTGACCCATAGGTGCTGATTTACTGAACATGTGCTGCTGTTACATGGTTTTACAGTGTAGTAGGGAAAAGAGCTTTTCTTTTCTAATCTTCTTGAAAAAGATTGCGGGTTAACTGTATGAGATATCTCTGTTACTGACTAGTACTGTTACTTAGAAATTTCTGTACTTCTGTGATTAAATTTCACTGTGTTCTTACTATGAATGATGATCTTGTCCACATTTGCTGAGTTGAGAGAGAAGAGCTCTACGAAGCTGAAGAACTTGCTTAAAATCTAGTAACTGAAAACCCATTTTCTTGTTTTCTGCAATACTTGTTAATCACATATATTCAAAAGATTCTTCTGCTTTCAGAGCATTGAAATAGTAGAAATTATGTCAGATATTGTATTATACTTCTGTTGAAAATTATGCAATTTTATAATAATAAAACTATTTCCATAGAAGACTATAGGAAAATATTAAAACAGGATATTTTATAGATAATTTTAGTAAATGATGCTCATTACACACATGCCTGCAAAGAATACTTTATTGCAGTCCAATCTTGTCAATCAGAAATTAACCTTTACACAAAGTAAAGGGCAAGTCATCCAGTAGCTATAATATATTTATCTTATTGCAAACTTAGAACATAGAATTAAAATTATCCAGGCAATAAAAAGCCAGAAACTCATGCATAACCATCTGCCAAGTTTCCACTTGAGTAGGCATAAGCTAGATCAATTGTATTTATTTGTTTTAAGTTGGTAATATTTCTAAAACAAAATATATTCATTGAAGTGGAAAACTTCCCTGCCTGGAGAAGGATGCCTGGATTAGGATGATTTGCAAGTGTTGCACATTTCAACAACAGTAAAAGTGTATCAACTTGGATGAATCTCACAAGGTATAATGTTGAATCAAAGAAGCCACCAAACATGATAGTATAAGATCACTTATGTTAAGCTGTAATACAAGCAAACCACCTACAAATATAGTTAAAAACCAAAATGGAAAAAGCAACTGGTAGATTTTTTAAATATTTATTTACTTTTACATACGTCAGTTCAGTTATTTGTCTGGTAGCCATCTTACCAGTTCTAACCTTCACAATAGTAAAATAACTCAGTTTCATACATATGGTGCAGAAAACATTAATTTTTAAGTTCTGATTTATTCTAAAACAGGCCTTCCATCTAGAGGAACTAGCACTGTCTAATCCAGGGCGTGCTCTCTCCAGGAGCCACTTGTGCCAAAGCAACTTTACTCTGCTCTCCCACGTCCTTGCTGAAGTGCTCTCAAGAGGACTGACTCCCAGAACTAATCCACGCCCAAACTGGCCTCCAGATTTAGGAGACAAAGCACATGTTAACATATTCTACAGGCCTGTTATACTGTCTGGGGCAAAACCTTTCCTGCTTTGACATCCCTGGGATTTATGGTCCTCTCTACAGTAAGAAAAGTCTCTTTAAAATTTTAAAATATGACACTAATAAGTGTTCTAAAAGTTTTAGTCACTTGGAGAATATCCTAAAGCTGTCTTCTTTCTGATTTTTGTCTGTTTACCTATTAGCAGTGGAGCAGATTCTAAGTCCCTCCTGTCATTCTTCTAAGAGGGAGGAGAGAAGGAGTTAAATGATCTGAACATGGTTTGTCTAGGACAGGAAAGGGGCAAATAGTAAATATTCTGGCCCAGTGGTGGTGAATCTATGGCACACATGCTATTGTGTTTTTCTTTTAAGACAAGATGTTAATGTAGATTTGTTTTTTCTAAAGTAAAACCTCAGCGTTCAGGTTTAATTGCAGTGTTGGTGCTTTGCGATAAATGAGTGGGTTTTAGGTTGCAGTTTGTCAGTCGGTCTCTGAAAGGTTCACCACCACTGTTCTAGGCTTTCTTTATTGCATGTAGAGTCCAACGTGTGAGTAGCCGTTCCTTGTTGTTAAGAAAAAGTATTAGAAGAATAGCAGCATTTGGTGAGTCTCAGAAGAAACAGTCACCAGGTGTCAGAGGGGCAGAGACATTCCAGGCAGCGGGAGTTTCGCGTGCGGGGCGCAGAAGGTGACACAGCCTGTATGTGTGGCTGGAGTGAGTGGTGCACTGGGGCCCCTGTGAGGGATGAGGTCACTTAGCGAGCGGGGTTATGGGGCGCCTTTACCAGCCGTGCCAGGGAAGGTGGGCTGCTATTGCTTAGAGTAGTGATGTTCAACCATGCTTTAGCCTCACAACAAAGCTTTTGTGGGAGCTCAGTGTATAAAACAGACAACTTTAGAGGTAAGGAACCCTATAGGTAACTCTTCTACTTCATAAAACACAAGAGACCATGTCTGTACTGTGCCGTAGCCTCCGAAGGGGACCCATAAAACCCTCAGGCTCCAAGGTGATGCCCTTTGCAGATCACTTCTGATGGGACCATGAAGAGTTTTAAGATGGGAAGCCACACACTCTGATTTCTGTATTCGGAAGATCACCTGAGGCGAGGAAAAAGAGGGTTCTGAGGAGGCCTGGAAACAGGAGCTGGTTTGAAGGTGTTGCTGCTGTGCAGAGAAGAGGCGCTGAGGATTGTCCTGGAACGAAGAAGACAGCAGTCATGGGAAAGCACGTTCGAGGAAACAGCACAAAACTGTGTCCACACTGCAGAGTTGGAGCGGAGGTGGGAAGGGTAGCCTGGAGGGACGCCCGCGTTTCTGCCTCGGGCGCTGGATGAAGGTCGTGTCATTATCAAGTGCTGGTAGCGGGCACGCGCTGCACTTGCGCCGTTCTCTCCGCTGGGCAGAGTGCTCTCCCGTACGTCACCATACCCACTGCCAGGCACCGCCGCTGCTTGCATAGCGTGACCTTCGCTGTCCACCTCCCGTCTCGCGGGCCTAGAAAGCTGACTTCCTTTACTAGGCTTCCTTTTTACAACTCTTGCTCCTTTGGCCTCTGCTGCTTAATCCTCCATATTTTCCTCTAGTTATTCCTCCTCCTGTCTTTGCAGGTGGATGTTCCTCATGAACCTGCTGTCTCTCACTTTACCCTTACATATATACTCATTCTGGTGATTTCAGTGATCTCAAAAAAGGTTTTTCTCTCACACACTGTGGCCTGTTTTCTGAACTTCAGTATTATGGTTGTAGTGCCTACTTGACATCAATAACTAAATGTTCATCAAACTCCTGGCCTAGAAATTGAGCTAATAATCATTGTCTTCTGTTTCTTTGTTTCTATTTCCATTAATGACTACCTTTATCACTCACTAGCCCCAAAGCCTTAAATTGTATTTGAATCCTTCCTTTACTTATACCTGATCATTCATTAGATTCTGTCTGTTGTATTTTCAAAATATCATTTACCTCTGTTGCTTCCTATTTGTTACCACTGTTCACGTTGAGAGTCTTCTTGCCTCTTCCCTACACCATCTCAGTAGCCCTTCGCCTGTCCTTCTCTTCAGGATCTGTTCCCTCCCGTCCCAGTCCACGCAAAGTACATGCTCCTGCCCGTGTGGTCTTTCTAACAGGTCCCCTTCTCTCCATTACCCAAAAGCTTCACTGGGCTACCTGTGGAATAGAGGGCACTTCCTTCTGGAATTCAGAGTCGTAGGACCTAGACACAATTTTACTACACTTCCTTACTATTGGGTCCTGTCTTACACGCCACTTTCTAGACAGTTATTACACACTTCCTGTGATCTACGTCCAGTGCTTTTCCCAAACTTCACGCCGCCCCCAGCTCCAGATACTCGAAGCACGCCATAGTTACTAAAGCTTTCCCTTGTTCTGGACACTGCAGTGATCTGCTCCTCCTTTGAACGCTGAGGCACCTCGTCTGTCTCTGGCCCTAATCACTCTCTGTGTGCAGCACGCATATGTTCTTCTCCCGCAAGAAACTGTGAACTCTTGTAGGTCGTGAATTATTCCTGTAACTCTTTCAGCCTTTCTCATTTTCGTTATATGATTAATTTATGTAAAAGTAAATAATACGATCTTACAACTACTCAGTGAAGTGAGCAGGGCAAGTAACAGTCCTTTTTAAACGTCAGGACACAGACTCAGAGACTGAGAGATTGCCTGAGGCCCATCGCCCTGGTGGTACCAAAACGTGGCTAGGTGTAGTTACGTGGGATTTTTCACATTTTGAAACCAAATACAGAAACATGATAAGTACAATAAGAATTGTGTCCAGGGAACCGAAATTTTACAAAAGCCCTAAAAGAATCTACCTTTCTCTCATTTTGGAGGGTTAGTAGTCACATAATAAACCATCTCTTGATTTCTGGAAGACAGGAAGGGAGGGAAAGAGAGAGACACACAGGACCAACATGGAAACAGACAGAATTTACTCAGGTCAGGAAAAAAAATTAACTAAGGAGGAGAAGACAGTGGGAGTGCTTTGCAGGGTGCAGACCCCGAGGTTGGGACCAGGCCCCCGGAAGAGCCCCTGGCCCTGTCGTGCACGCGCGGTCACTGAGTGCCTGCCCCAAAGCAGGACGGCACAGAGGTCGAAGAGACCCTTGAACGCGTAACTGCTGTACTCTGTGCCTGCTCAGCAGTTTTCTTTCCAGAAATTCTGTGTGGAGAATTACGTTTATTTCTAAGCTTTCATTACATTCTAATAATCCTTCCTTTCTCTCCCTTTACCAGAGGAAGAAGAGGAGCAGGTACCCACTGATGGGGGCACGTCCGCAGAGGCCATGCAGGTTCCCCTGGAGGAAGATGATGAGTTGGAGGAGGAGGAGATTATTAACGATGAGAATTTCCTGGGTAAGAGACCATTGGACAGCCCCGAAGCTGAAGAAATGCCTGCCATGAAGCGACCGCGGCTGCTGAGCGCTAAAGGAGACACCCTAGACGTGGTGCTGCTGGAAGCTCGAGAGCCACTTAGCTCAATAAATACGCAGAAGATTCCGCCGATGCTCTCTCCGGTCCACGTGCAGGACAGCGCTGACCTGGCGCCTCCGTCACCTGAGCCGCCTATGTTGGCGCCAGTAGCAAAATCACAAATTCCAACTGCAAAACCACTGGAAACAAAGGCATTTATACCTAAAACAAAGACCAAAACTACTTCTCCAGGACAGAAAACTAAATCACCTAAAACTACCCCATCACCAGCAGTAGTCGGAAGTCCTATTCGGTCACCAAAAACTGTATCCAAAGAGAAGAAATCACCTGGACGTTCCAAGAGCCCCAAAAGTCCCAAAAGCCCCAAGACTGTGACTCATATTCCCCAGCTACCGGTTAGACCCGAAACGCCCAATAGGACCCCTTCGGCTGCAGTAAATGAAAAGATGAGCAAAGAGCCTGTGCCCGGGAAGCAAACGCAGGCTCCTCCTGACGCGGGGAAACCCAGCAACGAGATTCAGCCGAAAAGGGCCGTGGTGACTGATAAAACAATTGACGACTCTATTAATGCTGTGATTGCACGCGCCTGTGCGGAGCGGGAGCCAGATCCTTTTGAATTTTCTTCTGGGTCGGAGTCCGAGGGAGACATTTTTACCAGCCCTAAGAGAATTTCTGGTTCGGAGTGCACCACTCCAAAAGCTTCCACTTCCTCGAACAATTTCACAAAGTCCACCCCTCTGCCTCTTTCAGGTGGAACTTCGAGCTCAGATAACTCATGGACAATGGACGCCTCCATTGACGAGGTTGTACGGAAGGCCAAACTGGCAACCCCTTCCAGTGCGCCCGCCAGCTTCCCGTACGTCTCCTCGCCCTCAGTGTCCCCTCCCACGCCTGAGCCGCTCCACAAAGTGTACGAGGAGAAAACCAAGCCGCCTTCCTCTGTGGAGGTCAAGAAGAAGTTGAAAAAAGAGCTAAAGACTAAATTGAAAAAGAAAGAAAAGCAGAGAGATAAGGAGAGGGAAAAAGACAAAAGCAAAGAAAAAGGTAAAGACAAGGATAAAGTGAAAGAGAAAGAAAAGGAAGCTGGCAAGGAGACAAAATACCCGTGGAAGGAGTTTCTTAAAGATGAAGATTCGGATCCCTATAAGTTTAAAATTAAAGAATTTGAAGAGGTTGATGCAAAAGTGAGATTGAAAGATGGAATTGTGAGGAAGGAGAAGGAGAAGCATAAAGATAAGAAGAAAGACAGGGAAAAAGGGAAAAAGGATAAAGATAAGAGAGAAAAAGAAAGGGCTAAAGAAAAAGGGCGGGAAGATAAGGTGAAGGCGCCTCCAACAGCACTGGTGCTGCCCCCCAAGGACATGGCCCTGCCCCTGTTCAGCCGCGCCGCGGCGGTCAGGGTCCCCTCCCTGCTGCCTGCCTTGTCGCCCATGCTCCCGGAAAAGCTGTTTGAGGAGAAAGAGAAACCTAAGGAGAAAGAACGGAAAAAAGACAAAAAGGAGAAGAAGAAAAAGAAAGAGAAAGAAAAGGAAAAGGAGAAGAAAGAGAAGGAAAGAGAAAAAGAGAAGAAAGAGAGAGAGAAGAGAGAGAAAGAGAAGGAGAAGCACAAGCATGAAAAAGTAAGCAGTTTACCCTTTTCGACACTAGCTGAGCAAAGTCCTAGTGAGAAACACAGGTGAACAAACAGCAGTTATGTCTGTGTTCCGGATGTGAATAAGCGGTGGGAAGACGTTCGGGTGAGGTTCCAGGCTCCATTTTCATTCTAAAACCCATAAACTTGTCATCGAGCCCGTGTATACTAAAAGATGTTAGAAATGCACAACTTAGGAGGAATCTAATCACAGACTATAAACTATTAACTCTCTTAACCTGTGGAAGTTTTTAACATCTGTAATCTTAACTTATGCATGATATTTTTGTTCATTATTAAGTCTACTACGTACTATTTTATACTTACTATTAGATACCAGAAAAAGCATCCATTTTTCTAAGCTCGTGAAACTCTGTTCCTCCTTTAAGAGAACAGCAAGGCCCAGGAAAGGACTACTAGGTCAGCTTTCTGGAGAGCCACTGGCTTATCTAGAGTTACAGGGCTGTCTGCTGCACAGACCTTATTCCTCCCATTTTTTGCTCTAACTTAGTTTGGAATATCCAACTCGAGCATCGGGGCTGACCTAGCAGTCTTAGGTGAGCAAAAGCAACTCCACGTAGTGGAGTTGACATGTTTTACCCTGTCAGTGGATCCCACGTTCATTGTCCTTCCAGAGAAACGGATCAGATTCTATGTTTTTGTAGGAACCAAGACCTAGACCCTGTGGGCGTAGTGTGTGGCCTCTGCCCTTACCGCTTTGCTCTCCCTCCATGACGCGAGATTATTAGAGCAGCTGGTTAGCTGACAGATTCCTTTTCCGCTTTCTGCAGAAGTGACTCGGTATTCATGTGACGTCGTAGTGCTCCTCAAGGAGTCCTTCCGTGGCCTCTAGAAACAATGCTTTGTTTAAGCTTCACAACAGAGAATACCCAGTAATTTTTCCCACTTGCTAAGTATGGTGCCTTGGACCTATAGCAGATTTTGGGTTTTTTTGGTACCAGGAATACGGCAGATTTATTAGTAGTAGTTTTGCGATATTTTTACCTTCAGACTTACTTAGAAAAATTAGTTTGGGTGACAACAGTGATGGAACCTTTCACATTTTTCTGCCTAAATTTATTCTTTGTCATCCTTGGCTTTTCTGAAACATAAAGTAGAATGGAAATTTTGATGTCAAATAACTGAACATGAGCAAGTTAACAAGACACAGAAATCCAACTTCTATTTCCATTTTAAAAAATCATTTTCATTATCTTATTACAACTCCTTGGGTTTTAAAGCACTCGCACACACTCTACATTCTTCTCCGGACATACCTATGACTTGGATCCAGCAGTACTGGCATCAGTATTTACATGTGAGAAACTGACCCTGAGAATGACTTGTCCAGGGTCATGGTCACCCCTAGCAAGTGCCAGTCACTTATAGCACAGATACGCTTCCCAGTTTGAAATGTGTGTTGTTA